AGCTCTCTGCCTCGAACCGTTTCTTTTTCAAATGATATGATTGGTTTAATCCCCTCGAATCTACTCTTCCTGCAATTATTGCTTGTTACTCCCTCATTCTCATGCACACGTGTCTTGTTCGAATACAGACCAATTTGGATCCGTCCGGGATGCTCGATGCGCACTCGCAAGGTGGCTCGCTCATGCAACAACAACAACAACAAATGCAACCGCAACCACCTTACCGTTCGGTTTCACAAATGCAACAGAACATGCCCATGAGTCCAACCGGAATGATGCCGGCCGCAATGAATCAAAATCCGTATGGTTCATTGGGTGTACAAGATGGGGATATGATGAATGCGCAGGGCATGATAACCTCAAACAATGCCATCCTGACTGGACCGTCAGCAGGGTAAGTTGTCGCTTCGGTTTCTCAGCTTTTTGATTTGCATAGGATCTCTGTCAGAACACACAGAAATGGTGACTAGTAGACAGGGCAGTATGCGTGTATGTGTTTCACACTTGTCTCATTCAAGATCCTGGGCTAAACAACAAATCAGGTTACAGTAATCTTTATAGCAAAGGTCCACGATTGGCTAGTGGGCGAAGCACTACCGGGTTACACAGGCCGAAACAAGTGAATTTTCTCGAGGAGTTCACTACCCGGGGCATGGATGAGCCAAAGCCCAAGACAGCAGAGCAGTGTTTGGGAATCGCAATTTATCGGAGGCCGATTTCCGATTTATCGGATCATATACTTTTTGGACTGGGTCAAACGTCCAAGCTAACCATTGCAACTCGAAGACCGATTAGGACGGTGACCACTGCTGCAACCAGGATAGCGTATATGTGTATGATTCACTCGTCTCTTCTCGGTGGGTTTGAAATTTGGGGTTTTAACCGAATTGCCAAAAGTTTATCGAACCATTTGTAGCCTCGGCTGTTGGCCTTTTGTTCACTCACTTTGGTAGGGAAGCATCTTCGCTACTTGAGGGAAATGAGAAGGGCGTCCTCAGCAGAGAGTATTGGGAGACGCCTGGTCGTAGGGATATTTCGCGAAGTGCAAGGGAGGGTGCCTGGCCCTAACCGGGGATACCCATCACGGACCGTAATAATTCTTTTGAAGACGTGGATAGAGTGCAGCCTAGAATCACGCGTCTTCGTTTATTGATAGAACCCGATAACCAAAAATATTGGCCTCGGTGTGGACAACGATACAAGGCTCCATAGACCAGCTGTGATATAGAGTCGAGCGACAGTGAAGCTGCCTACGAGTGAAGTTGTTCAGCAGTCCTGAATCTCGGATTAAGGGTTCCTAAATTCACCACCATTTCGTCGCCTTTCTCTCACCTGGTTTTACGCTGCCAGTTCTGTTCATTATCCTATAGTCATAATTGTTGAATTTCTTCATGTCCCGTGTCACCCCTCTCCATCAGTGACCCTGAGCTTTTATTTCATTTTAATTAAATCAATGTGAACATTTTCGTTTATGGTCGTGGATTTTACCGGAATACTTGTTTTAAACACCTACTTCGTTCAATGCATGGTTTGAAATTTGACTTACGGATCATTCGTGTAACACATGTGACTGGCGTCACATTGCTTTTGCTAATTCGCGAGAACCATTCTCGACACATTTCAAGTAATGTACTGCATTGTGCAACTTGGTTCGTGCAAGAAGGCTTTGGTGGAAAAGAAAAAAGAAATTTCACCCGTTGAACCCAGTTAAGTCAGAAGCATCAAGAATTCCTTGAGAATATATCTAGCTCACTCTTTGGGGCGCGGTGTTGTGTAAGCAATTGTCTGCGGAATGTTGTTATGTCGCCTCGTATTCGTACGCGCAGTCACTGCAGTGGGTACATCCATAGACAATACGGGTAAACAAGCAGATTTCATTCTGCAAGTATTGCGTGCAGTCGGGTAAGAAAGTGCTCAACGAGGACAAACAGATCAACACACTGAAATGGGATTAGCTGAAGCAAATCCATCTTTGATTGATTACCTTAAGTCAATATGTGTGTGTGTGTGTGTGTCTGTATGTGGTATGAATGAGTCTGGGTTAGTCAATCACTAACGTCATGTTTTCATGCCCTCAACGGTACAATCCACGATAGAGCTAAAATACATGCTCTACGGGATACACGCATGTTGTTCCGGATGATCGTTCATCATTTACTGTCTGATGCGACATTCCTCTCTCTCTCTCTCTGCCTCAATCGAATATCAAGTTCTTCCGGTTGTAAATACCCAGTCCCTTCCCCACACCGAATTAATTCCATCGGTAGGATAAAGCTTTTTGAACGATGACTACCGTACAATGGGAGGTGATAATGATCAAATTCAACACTGTGTGCTTGAAATATCTCCGGTCTGGTGTGTAAGATGATTATTTCACTTTTAAATAAAGTTAGTCATCTTAACAGCACAGCATTATCAGGCAATTCGTATCCCCGTTCGCGTTGTCATCACATCACAGTGGTATACCCAGTGATCTGCCTCAGATCGAGGTTGATCACTTTTCACTTCGTGCTTGACGTACATCCCGGATTGGTCGGTTAACGAACATCAAATCGTGAAGCGGTTAAAACTCATCTCGACTGCAAACACCCAACTGTGGTCCATTATCCCTGGATAATCGATCGCTTTGTGGTTGATTTTTCCCGGAGGATTTTGCATGCGTACGACCAACGGTTTCTCGGTCCTATCGCAGTGGTTAAACACAATCGG